ACTACCTCACAACTAGTATGAACCGCATGTCCAACTAGTCAGCCAACTATCTTTTTTCCATGCAATCAACTGGTACTTAAATATACCAGTCTCATACTAGTTCAAAATAGACAGAAAAAGGCTAGTCCAATTATATACCAAAACCACTACTTTTGGAGTCACAAAATAAAATGAGTTCATGAATATACAATAAAAAACTTCTGATTAAGTGCACTTAAATATATTACACATTTTTATTTAGCAGCATTAGATTTGCCAATAATTAGTGTTAAATTTTGTGGGTATTAATTAAAAGCAAAAATAAATACATAAATATTCCTAACTTTCGAACATAAATTTAAATACATTTTTCATTAAATGTTATTAAAAGTAAAGGGTTTCAGGTACAATAAATACTTTATATAATATATTATTTAATAATATTGAATACGCAAAAGAAACCATTAGTTAAAAATAAAATGAATACTTTAGTCCATTTTTGAGTGAACTAAAATGGAAATAAAATTTTTCATTAAAATAAATTAAATTCATTAACTTTGCACATTTCAGTCTATTCGTTTTAAAAATTTATAAAGGCAATACTTAATGTTCAAAATTTGAGATTTGGATAAGAATAAAATAAATAAATAATTCAAGCAGTTATTAAATATTCTTGATTTTTGTCTATAGTTTGGCTTGTTGATTGATAATAGAAGTTAAAAAATAATTATATTAATCGTGTAATTAAAAAAAGTCACAAATAATTGAGAGTGAACAAAAATAACAAAATAATGATGTAATTAAAATTAATGATGTAATTAACATTTTTAAAGTAATTAATTATTAATCATTAAAAAGGTTGTAATATCGGTATTTAATCATTAAACGGTTATTAAAAAAACATGCTTTAATCAATAATCATTATGAATATTAATCATTATTTAACAGGTCTGGCATAATTGAATACGTACTCGATTTAATGGTTTACAATATACCCAAATAAAAGTTATAATATTTTGTGTACTTTATTTTATTAAACTGTCGAAGTCAGATAAAACAGGGCATGAATAAATCGTTTTGTTATTGGTACAAGTCTGGTCATTTTCGAACTAGTTCGGTTTCTGTCAGGTAATTCTAGTTGTAAACTAGAATTTTTCCTGATTAGTTTGGAGTTTCCCTGCAGGGATATTTCAATTGGAATTTAATAACTGCACAACTACTGTAATATGAGCGTGTCTTCGTTAATTGATTATGCTAAAATTGTTTAATTGCACTAAAACAAGGTTCCGAGGAATGGAACTGGATCTATTCAACAAGGTGAAATACCTTGGAATAATTGTGCACCCCAAACTCAATTAAAAGCTAAACATTGAAGAGTATGTAAGGAAGGCTTCGGTGGCTCTCTATGCAGCTAACCAAGAATTTTACACTAGATGTACACAGTTATAATCCGACCCATACTCTTTCATGGGGCACTGGTCTGATGGCCAGTTCTTACTAAGGATTACGAAGTTAAAGCTGGATACAAACGGACAACAAACCATAGACTAAATTCATGCCGCACGGCTCAACATCACCTCAAGCCTCTACTGCAGTAGTCGCAAGGTGGACTTGTAACTTGGTATTATATCGACATCTAGTACTCATCTGCCCAGCCTACGCGAGCTTAAAGTTTATGTGCCTTCCATCCCACTTCTTACTCACCCCCGAGGAACTTTCGGAAATAAAGATTCGCCGCTTGGGTTAACAGACAGCCATTTTTAGCGCAAAGTGTGCTATTAAAGCCCCGTTTACGTACATATATTTATATTGTGCCTGTGAACTGCCTTCCGATTAGCCATCAACCAGAAGATGTGCAAGGAAATTTAGGCGTCATTGTTAAACCACCCATTCCCTTTTTATATATTTATGAAGAATGAACAGGTTGAAAGAATCAATTTTGTCGAAATTGCAAGAAATTCTCCACATAGCAGCATTATTTTCATTGCTTTACCTATTTTATTCCGAAATTTCGTAAAAGAATCGAAGTGTGCACAGTTTATTTCATTTTAAGAAATTCGTAAAAAAATCAGATAGGATCTTTAAGAATTCCTTAAAATTTCTCTACAATTCAAAATACTCTGAAAAAATGGTTTGTACGGTATTCTAGTAGTAGCATCTTCCCAGCAAAAAATCGGTAATCGCTTTTAGTGGTAACGTCGTTTTGACCCAATAATAGAAATGATTCAATTAAAAAAAAATATCGGTATTCAAATTTGAATTCAGTAAATATTTTGTTTATCATATGTAAATACTTTACTCCTTCCTATAATGTTTTTGGGTTATTTTGACCCAATGATAGAAATTAGTAAATTTTAAGAAGAAAAAAAACGATGTTTCAATATCAATTCAGTTAATATTTTATTTATCGCATGCAGACACTTTATCGGCAAGTGCTGTATGCTTACCGGTTCAAAGTTATAATTAAAAAAATTTCATGAAAATGGGCCATTTTGACCCAATCGGTGCCGAAGAGGTAAACGATTAAAATTAGGCTTACTAGTGTTCGCCCAGCGGATGAAATTCAAGCGCTAAAATTAAGGGGAGTTTATGTGAGGTGAGTTGAGTTGAGTTGAGTTGGGTTAAGGTGAGTTGAGGTAAAATAACATTAGTTGGGATGTGTTAAGTGGACGGGAGTTTAACTACATGGCATAACATAATATTACATAACATCACATACCGTAACATAACATACAATAACAAAACACATCGCACTTTCCTAAGTTGTATCTCCTTTTTTATCTTTATCACATTCCCTATCTTTATCTCTGTCTCTATAGTTTTTTATGTTTATGTTAATGCTTATGTTTATGTTTACCTTCATCTTCATCTTCACTTCATCTTCATCTTCATCTTCATCTTCATCTTCATCTTCATCTTCA